GGCCCCGACTCATAGCGACCCCTCCTTGGGTTTCCGAGGCAGTATCACTACGGAAGTAGATTGCCCCATCTTCCTTCCGAGGAGTGGCTGGTGGGTATGAAACGCCAGCCTTCTGGTTAGCAGTCAAGTGCCTTAGCCACTATGCTACCAGAGCTCCCAAAATTTAGCTTAGTCCCTAGAAATTAGATTATAGGGTCAAAGTTTATGAATATTTTAATGCCTTTAATAATAATTGCCAAATGGATTTCTAGAAAGATTCTACCAATTTATAGCCACACAAGTAGTTTAAGTGCCTAGCTAATCTCACCTCTTGCCACAATTGGGTCTGTATTTTTGTTATCTTATACCAGTGTGACACATCAAAATGATACCTCATAACTTCATTTCTTTGATCGCCAGTGGAAGGGACTAGTTTTAAATGTTTCCTTGGCTAATCATATTCCTTCTTTGTAAATTGTTTATTGAAGTCACTGCCCATTTGTCTGTTAACTGTCCATCTTTTCTTTCCAAATTGTTCAGTTCTTTGAATATTAGAATAATTATTATTATTTTTTAATAACTTGAACCTGTTGAGTGTTTAGAACTTTCAGATGAGGAAACAAAGGCCAGAAAGACTAAGTAGTTTGCCCAGTTACTTAGAACATTGCCTGGCACAGCAGGAGTACTCAGTAAATCCTTGCTGTTCTTGTTACTCATCTTTGTATATCTTTGCACCTTGCACAGTCCAATGCCTAGCACATAGTAGGAGAAGAATAAATACTTGGTAATGTTACAGTGAGGCTAACCACCCTCACTTTGGCTGTTTGTGTATGGAAGCCAATCTTTAGTGGGTGCCTTTGTCACGGCTCAGATGAGTCAGCATCTCCTGGACTCTACTGGATCCTGATCTTGCCCATATATTTTTAATGATACTTTTCTCAAACTCTGTAAAATCAGGCTATTTCCCTTACTTCATTTCTAGGTAACAAACCTGAATTTGGCAAGTGGCATCATAAGCAGAAGCAGTTCTTCAACTCCCCCCACCCTTCGGCCTGTCATCAGCCCTAATGTCCCAACATGGTCAACGCAGGCAGACCCCCAAGCTCCTGAGAGTCACTGCAGCCCTCCTGGAAGCAGGTATGTGAAGGCCACGGAGCTAGCGTTTGGGTTACACAGGGACACTTGGGCCTGAGCACACCTTCCCCACCTACAGTTCTGTATAGAGACAACAGTGAGGCAGACTCCCCACCCCCCACCCCCAGCCAAATCTGCCGGCACTTAGATAAGAAGACCTCATTTCATTGGTGAGGCAGTTGTAAGCTAAATTGAATGAAAGGAAATTTCTGGTACAGTTAAGTAAATTCACTTTTGGGTGAAAGAACAGAAATGTGTACTCTAATCCTTGTCAGTAGTCAACATTGTCATGGTCTGACTTTGGACATTTTCTCCTTGTCTCCTAATTCTCTTTCTGACCTCACAGTACGTCATGTTTCAGTAACTTTGGATTCTTTTCTTTTGAAGGCCATATTTGTTCTTCATGTTTTCACCTAGGTTATATCATTAAACCCAAGCAGCCTCCCTGGACAATGTTCCTTTGAGAAGTGGGAAGGAAATTACCTATATATAGTTGAGAGAAATGGCAATGGATAAAATCCAAATAGATTCTGACCATAAAGTAAGCAATTCCCAAATTAAAAAAGAAACTACTGTATTAAATTTTGGTCTTCCTCCTGATTTTATGTCACCCTGAAAAATAAAATTAAAAAAAAAAAAAAATGTAAGAAATAGATTCCCAGTGCACCTTGCTTTAGAGACCATTAAATAGGGGTTAAATTAAATCAGTTTCTGAGTCAGATGAGCTAGAGAGAAATGTGACTGCAGTGATAAAGTACTCTGACCAGCTGAGCTGTTGCTCCCTCCAAATAAAGACCCTCCATGGCAGGTGTGCCTCCAAGTTCCCACCCCTGTACAGCCCTTCCAGCCTCTGCCCAGTGATCACTTAGTATGTGGCCTGAGGTCACAGGGAGTGAACAGAGACTTGGAGGAAATACCTAATTGTTGTAAAAGTATCTGTTGCTGTTAGAATTATGACTTAAGGAGCTAATTTGGGAAGCAGAAACTCTGCCCAGGAAGCAGCATCAACATAAGCACATTACATCATGCTGTGCTTGGTACATTGTCTTTCAAACAGTAATCATTGCGGTTTGGGGGATCATCTCAACTGCGAATTACAAAGAGTTGAGGACCCAGAGGGAAAAATTTTTAGGTAGGATATTCTCCCACACCATTCTCTTTGCAGGAGAAATCTCTTGTTTGGTAATTTGCCTTTCAGCCTGTAGAGCAACTATATTCCTGGAAAAAGAAAGTCTTTGTATGTCATAGATTTTTATTTTCCATAGACTCGTTATGAAGTAAGAGCCTTGTTTCTAGGAAGAACATTTTCACTGCAATCTGGATATATTAGCTATATGACAGGCTGCAGTCATTTCCTGCACTATAAACAAGATAGGGACCAGTTGCTGGAGAAAGATATCATACTACATAGAGGGTCAGCAAAAAGGGGAAGGCCCTCAATGAGACGGACTGACACAGTGGCTGCAACAATGGGATCAAGCATGGCAGTGATTGTGAGGATGGTGCAGGACCGGGCAGGGTTTCATTCTGTCATATGTCAGGTTTTTATGAGACAAAACTGACTCACTAGCACCTGACAACAACAAATGGATTTTAGCTTTTCATACTTGTAGACAGAATGAGGAAAAGCTTCGTTTTGTTTTTGTTTTTGTTTTATTATGAACCTTCTCCTGGTTCCACTTGTTAGTCCCAAGACACAGAAGAGTAAAGGTCAGAACCAGGACCTAGAGTCCCTCACTGTGAGTGGCCTTCCCCCCCCGCAGGCAGACTGTGCTCATGAGGATGGTATTATTACAGTTTGCTCCAGAGCTACTGCGGCCAAAAAGCACCTCACACACACACACAGAGTTCCCTGATCTTTTCCTTTTGGGGTTAGTTGTAGTCACAGAAGTTTCTTTACTTTCTCTTCGAGGGCCAGTTTTCAGGTCTCGTTTCAGTCCAGGGCTGAGTCCTGGAAAATCTTCCTCTGCCCTCTGGTAATCTCTGGTTGTCAGGACTGTTTGGTAGCTCACCTCCAGAGTTCCGATCCCAGGTGGAATTCCCAGAATTACCTACCCTCAAGCAATGCTAAATGGATTCTCAGAAGCCCTTCCAGACTTGGCTCTGAAGTGCGTCCTAGCCAGACCACCAGCCAGCATTCTGCTCAGTGCAGGTATGCGCTGCATAACATCCGTTTGGGCAACGCCCAACCGCATGTCCTGGGACAGGGAGGAGGGGCTTGCTTGGAAGGGCACCAGGAGCAGGGCTGGTGCCCTGTGGCTGCTGATGGCTCATGCCCTGCCCAGCTGTCCTGCAGGTTAGTGCCTGCAGGGAGCCCCTGGGCTGTGGTTGCTCTGCTCCGTCCATCCCTCCCACCATCTGATGCTGACCAGGCTTCCTGGGGTAGCTCAGAGGGTGCCAAGTGCCCAGAGGTGGCCAGTTGCAGGTACAAGATTGCAAACCCTGAGGCTCTGTCTAACAGAGGGCCAGAGCGGCTTACTCATGGTTAACTTTGATACACGTATATCAAATATATACCCTCGTTTATTGTGTATATGTGTTCACACAGTGGCCAAATCGCAAAACATCCGATTTCACAGAACATGTCATGAGCGTTAAGGGACACACACCTGTACCATGTCCCATTTCCATTTTTACCTGGCAAGTCAGTGTTTTGTGGATATTGATTTGGTCTCTTATTTTTCCTCTCTTAGTAGTAAGGGTGACTAAGTTCAATGACTATAGGATTAGTAGCTTAGAAATGTGAGTTTTATTACTGGCGTTGACACTAAGTGACCCTAAGCTATTTATTTAATCTTTTTATTGGGTAAACATACTTACATATAAATTGGCCTGTTTAGAGAGCCTTTAGATTGCCTTATAGCACTTTGATCTCTCTGGAAGTGGATGCTAAGTAAATAAAAGGAACTCTTACTAGTACTTCTACAATAGCAACAGTGGATTCCAGTGCTGATAAACTCTACTAAGCCACTGCACTGGGGGCTGCCCTGTAAACATAATGAGATGTAAAGAGCATCCCACTGGTGGCTGTACTTTCCATCTCTGCATGTCAAAGGATTCCACGACTTGGTAGCCACAGGAATGAACACTGGTGACTCACAAGAACTCTGCAAACAGTGTTCTTTTTCATTTCCCTGTAGAGTTGCTATTGTTCTCAATTTTGTGGATCACACAGATTTTCACCAGACAACCTTGTTCTTCCCCCGCTGTTCTGAAACCACCCCAAATGTTCTGAAACCACCCCAAATGCAGGCTCAGGGCTATCGTCTCCCATTGGGTCAGTGTGAGCTAAGCCCAGCTCCTCAAATCTCTTGGTTCCTCTGGTCTGTCTGGAGTCCCTATTGGAGCTTTGTTGTGGGAGAGGAAGGCAAAGAGGCCACGACTTGCCCAGACAGTCTGAGGCCTGGCTGTGTAGCTTGCTGTTCCCTAGACACTCTGGACTTGGACTTGGCCAGCCGTTCCTCTGTTGTTACTTTTCAGAGGTAATAAGTGAGATTAATTGCAGGCCATTCTCCAGAAGAGAAAATACTCAGGGCCAAATGTAGTCACATGTTGGGAAGGCTGAGGGGTACCTCCCAGCAAGGCCGACTCAGAATTATACAACAGAGCCTCCAAGATCCAGGTACCGAGAGTTCATGACTTCTTTTTTCTTGAAGTGATGATTTTCAGGTTCTAGATGCTGACACCTGAGTATTTAAACTGTTCTTTAGCCAATCAGATTGGTTAGATCTTCAAGCTGCCTTTTAATTACCCTGTTTTTTCTGGGCACATGGCGAGTCATTAGAAGCTCAGAGTGGATGGCCAGCATCATCTTCTATTTGCTGCCAGCCTTGCATGGAACTGGACCACGTCAGGGAGAAGTTTCCTAGGTGAGGAGCACTCAGTGGGTTCATAGTGCAGTTTTCTTTGTGAGACCTGGAAGGGTTACCGTAAAGTTTTGGCTGCTGCTTGGAATGATTTGGGAAGGACAGGGCCTCAGACGGCTTGGCAGGAGCCTAAGGCCCTGTTTTTTCCAGTTCAGCCCTTCCTTGTGGATCGAGCTGTCAGGGAATCCCACGAATGTCTGGCTTCTGCCCCTTTGTATGTTTTTCCAGCATTTGTCATTGAATTATTTTTATCCTTCTCTGGCTTTTTCACACACGGCAACCTGGGGATTTGTCTGTTCCTCGATCTTAAAGGTGGGGGAGGTGAGCAAAGAACACAGCCTTGTGTTGCCTTCCGCTCTCTGTGATAGGGTAACACACTGTGGGCATGGGCTGCCTGACCTGGGCCAGCCTCCATGCTCTAGGGAGCGTCTTCCTGGCAGAACTTTTAATTTTCTGCCAGGGAGTGGGGCACAAGGAGGCACCAAATCTGGGAAGTTTGGACCATATTCAGTGCCACCCTGCCCTGTGCCCTCCTGCTCTTCAGTAATAGCTGTAAAGAGGCAGCTATTCTGTTTTATGTGAATTTTGGGAACAGATTTTTCAGAGATTCTGATTCTGATGGAAGAAATTCTGATTCAAATTAGATTGCACTCCTCTCCCTTCTGTTAGATTGTTTCTTACAAATGCTGCTGAAGAGTCAGGCCTCTGCCTTCTCATCCTTTCATTCTCAATTTGTCCTCAGAAACACTGAGTTTGTTGTTGTTGTTGTTATGTGCCATCGAGTCAGACTCGACTCATAGTGACCCCTCCTTGGGTTTCTGAGACATTATCACTACGGAAGTAGATTGCCCAACCTTCCTTCTAAGGAGTGGCTGGTGGGTTTGAACCACCAGCCTTCTGGTTAGCAGTCAAGTGCATTAGGTACTACACCAAGTTTGTTAGTTTCTTTTAAAAATACTCATATGTATTTTCTGTGTGTCAGGCATTGTGCTGGGAACATCTCAGTAAGTAAAAAACCTAGCCATCCCTGACCTCACTGAGTTTACTGTCTAAGGTATGTGTCATTCATGTGCTGAGCATAGTGCTGGGTGCTGGGTGGGCCCTAAAAGGCTTTCCAGACATGATTTGTGATCACTG